CAGAGGAGCGGCCCGAGGGATCTCGTTATCCCCGTCACCTCGGGTCAGTTTGCATAGGGTGCCTTGGCCGAGCGGATGGAGATGTGCCAGAGTTGCATCCCTGGCAGCTCCAGGAGCCCGGGGGGGCAGAGGGAACCGGCTCACCTGTGGTATGACTGCCTCGCAAGACTTCTACCCAGTGTGTGGCAGGAGGGGTTTATGGCGCTGAACGATGCACCTGGCCCACGCTGGAGCTGGGGAGCCAGGACTGCCACCACAGCTGCCACCAAGGGAGATAACGGCAGGGATTTCTTGGCATTTCAGCTCACTGAACAAGGAGAGAGGCTGCTGGCTGCAGAGCTGTGATGCTGTGTGCCCCTGTGATGCTGTGTGCCAACTGCCAAACCCCTAAAGACATCCAAAGGTTGTAAAGCTGGGACTTTTGGGGGGAGAAAGAGGCAAAGGAGAGGGAGGAACAGGACCGAGCTCAGATAAAATTTTGGGGTTTTTTTTTTTTTTTTTTTTTTTTTTTTTTTCCCAGAGCTGGGAGGGGAAATTGCTTCATCATGAAATCACTAGACTGTGCCCAGAGAAACAAGACTCAGAGGAAGGAAAATAACTAGGAGGAGGTTCCCATTTCTAGATCTGGGTTAGTTTCTGTAGCAGAATATGAGTTTGGTTTATGTCTCAGTAACCCTCTCATGTGGAAACACTTGCTCAGGGCATGTGTCCAGTCACTGGTACTAAACTTTTGACACCTTGTCTAAGAAACACCACACATTTTAGGAAATTTTTTTGGAAAATCCCATTTCCATTCATCTTGCAGGGACAGATCAGACTCAGATCTTTCAAAATCTCCATCACGTGATTTCAGTTTGGGCTGTCATTGAGCTAGTGCATATGGTAAATGTAATTAAATAAGGGGGAGAAGCACTAACATCTCTGCCAAATGTGGCTGGAGGCTTAAGTTCTGGCACAGGAGCCTGGTGAACCCTCTCCAGCTCTTTCTTTCGTGCAGCTTGGGGCTGGGGAATTGAGCGGGACGGCCTGGCTGGCTGGCCACGGTGGGGAGTGTCAGTGCAGCCCAGCCAGCAGCTCTGGCGCGGGGCCTCGCTGATGTCCTGAGGGGTCCAGCCCACACCACCCAGTCGAGTTTATCCATCTAGTTTTTTCCTCCACAGAAAGCACTGTTAAAGAGCTGCTAGCTGAAAGAGTGGCATTTAAAGGTAGAGGAGGGAGAGAGAGAAAACAAAAAACAGTTCCCTTTGCCAGGAGCATCCCACATGCATACGTAGCGAGGCTGCCAGATGCAGGGACATCTCCCCTTGAGCTGCTAATGGTAGCCTGTGCTAACTTCTGGCTTTGGATCCAAAACCTGTGAGCCTCTTGGCCACCCAGGTCTTATTTTAACCCTTCCCTGACCCCCAAAGGGCAGGTTCAGTGGTAAGCTCTGTGCTGTCTAGCAGGGAGATCACCTCTGGCCGTAGCACAGGCCCCAGGTGGTTTGGCTGACAGCTGCCCCGTGACCCCGTTATTTATTAGTGCCAAACAAAGGACCCCAGAGCCACCATGACAAACCGATTCAGCCGAACCCGCAGCGTGCAGCGGGAAGGTATAAAATGTATAAATCTGTCATGCATGGACCTCCCATGTGCTAGTCCAAGGGCAGTGGGACCCAGGTGGAGCCTGCTTCTCCCGTCTCCCGGGGAGCGGAGCCATCCATGGATATGGTGAGGGGAGCAGCTGCTGCAGCAGAGCAGGGACCCCACGCACACGCAGGACTTCACTGCAGCTTGCGAGCTGGCGTCCCCAGCTGCTGCCCCTCAGTCCCTGGCTGCCTCTTCTCCTGCTTGGTCGCTTCATCCCTCCTCCACATCATTCCTGCTCTGCTTTCTGCCACCACCTCTTCAGCATGGCCCCTCTGCTCCTCAGAGCTCTCCACAAAGCAGGTCCCTGGGCCACCCTCCATGCCCAGGTGTAGGCAAGGGACCCTGCTTGCCCCAGCTCTTCTGCTGGGCACAGCGGTGAAGGCTGGCACCAAAGCCACGGCTGGGGCACTGTGGGCTCACAGACAGGAGACTTTCAGCTCATTTCCAAGTAGTGGTGTGTTTTTTATGGTTTTCTACCCCAGTTTCCAACTGAGTCATGCTCAAAAATTCAAGAGTGGTTGGTTATGCTGAGAAGTTATGTGGTAACTGGTCTATGGTTGTTGGCCTGTGTCTGTGTCCAAGGAAGTGCTGTCACAATGGAGCATGAGAGGAAGGTATGAGGAGCACTTGCTCCATCTACGGGAACAGTCCAGGGTGTCTAAGAACTGGGCTTCAGGGAGGCTTTGGTTTTGGCAACTTCCTTTGGCTTGTGTTCCTCTTAAAAGGGGATGTTGGGCCATGTGGGCAATGCTTTTGGTTTGGGTTTTTTTTTTAAGAGTTGAGAGACGAAGTTCAGGGGATTTTTTAGGGAAAAAAAAAATCTGGTCCTAGTTCTGATTACAGAGCTTACGAGCACACACATTATATTGAAACATAGATGTCCCACTGTTATCCATGTGAACGTGGGGTTTAATAAGGAGATGCCATTTTCACCCAAACCCAGCAGAAACAAACCTACTTTATGAGAGGTTTATCATTCCCCATCCTTGGCTGGGACTACTGCTTGACCCCAGGAACAATTATGTTTTCAGCTGTTATGGGAACCTGATCTGGAATTCCTGTTGTTTATAACACTTATACATACATGCTCTTTTTCCATCAAGAAGTTACTGTAAACTCCTTTCTTAATGCAGGAAAGACAGACCCCAACACCTCCCTCCAAGTAGAGGAAGATGGATATAGTGTCAGGCTCAATTAGATCCAATTGTGGTGGCTTTCCCTAAAGCGAACAATGCAGCTTTTGTCAATGGACTTCCAGCAGAAAGCCTGGAAGTCTTGGGAAGGAGGGAATAGAACAGCACACGCCCCAAAGTCCAGACCCTGAGATAGTCCAGGTCCTTAGGATGCAGAGGAGATGGTGTTTCTTTTTAAGAGGGCTGGAGTCAGGCATTACTTTTCTCTTTGAAATGCAGCAGTGCATTAAGAGGCGAGGTGGGCAGAGCTGGCAATAAAAGTATGCCCAGTCCAGCCTCACCAAAATACCTGCGGAGGCAGGGGCTGAGCAGGGCACGCAGGTGCGGTTGCCAGGGGCATCTCCTCTGGGAGGGCATCCCACCTGGAGCAGCACCCGGCCAGGGCTGCTGGAGCGGGGAACAAAGTGGCCTGCTCAGCGCTGGAAGTGCTTAAAATGCAAATGTACAGGAACTTCAGACCATCCCCCTCCCTCCTCCTCGGCGCGGAGGAAAGCAGCTTAAATACAGCCAGGCCTGGAGAGGAATGTTAAAAAGAGGGGAAGAATCACCCTCCTCCTTTCCATAGGGACTCGGGCCCGGCCAGATTGAGTATGCATGACTGAGCAAGCAAGCAAGGACAGCTCCTCTTTTAACTTTCCTGAACAATGGCTCTGCCTTCTTCCACCATTTCGCATTCCCCCTCCTTCGAGGCAGGAAGGGGGCAGCGGGCGAGCGAGCCCGGTCGCCGGGCTGGGGGAGACGGGCTTTGTGGCTGCCCTATAAACAGCGCTTAAGCTCCGTCTCCTGCAACAATGAAACACCCCACGTCGGGGAGGCTAAAAAGGGACCGCATCGGGTTAAAAGTCATAACGTGCAGGAGAAAGATTATGGTGGAGGACAAAGGACATCTTAGATTATTCAAACTTTTTTTTTTTTTTTTTTTTTTTTTTAAATACGGTTCCACTTTTTGCTTTCTCTTTAATCTTTGGCTGGGGAGTGGAAATCAACCAAGACATTTCAGATTTTCCAGGTCTGCAAAGGCGCAGGTTTTTGGTGGTTGTCACTGCTGGGAAATGTTTTTACTTGAGTCTTCCAGCTGGGGAGGGCCACAGTTTAAATCACTAAAAAAATCCTCCAGCACGCAATTCATCTGGAGCTTAAAAAAATTAAGAAACACAGGTCTTCTTCTCCCTCACAAATGCTGTCCTCTTATCACCAAGTAGTCGATTTCAGCTGCCAGCAAGTTTCAGCACTTAGGTTTGTGTGATCTCAGACTCTGAACGGGGTTTGTCCCCAGGGATGCTGCCAGCACCCTCGCAGCCACGGCTGGTCCTGCCAAGCCCCTTCCTTACAAACTCCTCCTGGTGATGTTACCCGGCATCCTGCACAAGGAGAAGGCTCCTTGCCTTGCTTCTCCTCTCCATCACTCAGCAGAGCCAGCCCCACATCCCACCACCAGCCACAAGGCTGTTCTTACCGAGCCCAACAGATAGACACATCTTCAATAAGTACACACAACACAGATACGGCTTTTTTTTTTTTTTCAAAAACATACTTCATATTTCCTCTTTTATTATATAAATATGTTTAACCTTTTACTGTAAGAATATAAAATGTTTTAAGAGGATCTTTGTTATTTTTTTTATACAAATTCACAAACAGTACAATTAATCCATAGGGGTCTCCGGGTTTGTGTTAACTCCGTGGTCTGGCCTGTTACTGTGGAGGATTTGAGATTTTGAACAGATAAGCAAAAAAAAAGCCAAGATATTTAAAAACAAACAAAAAAATCAAAACAAAACCCAAACTTACTCTTCCTCTTTCAAATAATAATTAAAAAATTATCTAACGACCCAGCTCCATTTTATTGACAGAACAGAGATAAGACAGATGAACTTCAGTCTCCTCCCCTTCACATGGCAGCCCTGGGGCCTGTAGGCCAGCTCTGCTCCTCTCCACCTACAAACAGGAAGCCTGGCATAGTGACCTTTTGTAGGTGGCTTAGGAGGGGAGGGGAAAGCACTTGCATATATCCATATATATATATATAATTTTTTAAAAAACAAACTTGCATTTTACACATTTCTGTTAACAGTAGCCCAGTCCTCGATGTGGATTCTCACGTTACATAGTTGTGCTAGAAGAGTAAAAATGCAGAAGCACAGTTTGGGTCCCCAGTTCCCAGTGAAGAGGGAGGGAGAGGCACAACCAGAATGTGGAGGTGGGACACAGTAGGGTAAGCCTAAAAACAAAAATAAAAATTAAAAAAAAAAAAATTTAAAAAGGGGGGGGGCAGAGGAGGGGATAAAATAATAACAAACCCAAGGGGTATTATTCCAGTCTAGGCACAAAAATGTTTCAGTCTCAAAATCTCTTTCCTGTAAGAATTCCAGGGCTTTTGAGGAGGGGAAAAAAAAAAAAAAAGTAACAAATTAAAACGAGGTAGCCAGACATCATATATATATTTATATATATAGAATATATTCAGCAGAAAAAAAAGTACTTAAAAATCCACAAGAACAGCAACTTCATATGTCTTTAAAAATAAAACCATGTAAGAAAATGAATACTGTAAAGGGGAGAATGAGTGAGGAAAACTGGGATCAATTACAGTATGTAAGCAAGGGCTAGATGGGAGAGTAAGAGGCTGTTTTTGTAGCAGTAATTTTTTTTATGCATTTCAAAATAAAAACAGGTCACAGTATCTCAAATGAAGCAGAAATGAAGCTGGAGATTCTTCCTCATGTCCCCCAGGTAGAGAGGAGCGAGAACTCCCTTCTACCTGCTCACCCCCAACCCAGAGAAGAATGGATATGTGGCTGGATATGTCTATCCCTGTTGCCAAGGAGGAGGAGGGGGGGGAAAGAGAGAATGATGAAAGGGAAGACAAGTCTCAGCAACTCTCTGAGTCCCCCAGTGCACAGGAAGGCTTAAGAGAGTGGGGTCTGTGTCCAGCCCCCACAGAGACAGGAGGAGGAAATGGTGTTTTCATCTCCAGTGGAGAGATGGGGAGACAGAATGGAGTGCCTGGACTTTTCCATTACCCATAGTGCAGGATGACATGGAAACATACTGACAAAAGGGGAGGCTGTAGCTATCGCTAGTCTCAGTGCAGTGGAGAACTGGAATAGTGGGAGGTTGTATCCACCCACAGCAGAGAATAACATGAAACTGGAGACTGAAGAGAGATTTAAAAGGGGAAAAAAAAAATCAATGTACCTAGGGAGCAGTATTTCTGTCACAAATGTGTTGACAGGGGAGGGGCAAGCACAGAGGTGGAATGGTTGTTTTATCAAAAGCTCTGTCTGTGCCCAGCGCAGGATGACTGGGTGGCTGGGTACACAAGTGTAGCTAGGAAGCCTTTGCTGCTGTTAACTATTTTTTGTTCCCATCTCCATTTCCACTCTCCCTTATATAAACCAAAAATAATCTATTCTGAATACATGGCAGAACAAGGGTCTTTCTTTATCCATCCTTAGTGCTTGAGGGGATGGAATGTGGGGGTGGGGACAAAGAGGGGTGTCTCTAGCCCCAGTGCATAAGTGTGGGTTTCTACCTCTTCCGCAGGGAAGGATGCTGTGGGAAGGGAGAGAGCTCTGCCTCCCTAGCGCGGAGCTTGAGGTGTGACCTGGAAAATGGATAGGTGCTTTCTCTCTGTCCTCCTGGTCCCCCTTCCTCCTCCTCCTCCACAGCAAGGATAGGCAGGCAGCACAGAAGGGTCGAGGTTATACCCTCTTTCTCTGTGTTCCTCCCTGCGGTGCCAGAGTGCGTGGGTAGCATGTCTCTGTGCATGCCCCTCTCTCTTTCTCTCCTCCTCTGCAGCAGTCAGTCAGTCAGTGAGTCCCTCCAGAGGAGATGGAGGTCTCAGGGCACCATCCTCCTCCTCTCACCTGACCTTCTCACTCTCAGTCATTTCCCAAAGTCCCAGGTTGAGCACCTTGAGGCAGGGCAGCTGGGTGATGCGCTCCAGGCCCCGCTTGGTGATGCGGGTGCAGCCATAGAGGTCGATGCCCGTGAGCTGGCTGAGGTGTTCGGCGATGAGCTCCAGGCCCTTGTCGGTGATGCGGACGCACTGGCCGATGTTGAGGGTGCGCAGCCCGTGCATCTGCCGCACCATGCGGTTGATGCCCTCGTCACTGATGTGGCAGGAGCAGAGGGACAGCGAGCGCAGCCCATCGAGGCCCTGTGCGATGTAGGCTAGGCTCTGGTCCCCCACCTTGTCACAGAAGGAGACGTCGAGGCCGGACAGCCGCAGGCTGCCCATGGCCAGGTGCATGATGCCAGTGTCGCTGATGTTGTCACAGGAGCGCAGGTTGAGGCTCCGCAGGCTGCTCATGTGCGACAGGTGCAGCAGCCCTGCGTCCGAGATGCCCCCACAGAAGCTGAGGTTGAGCTGGCGGAGGCGGCCCAGCCCGCGGGCCAGGTGCTTGAGCGAGAGGTCGCTGAGCTTCTGGCAGTCCTGCAGCGTGAGCTGCTCCAGGCCCAGGCAGCCCTCGGCCGCGCTGCGGGTCATGCCCGCCAGGTGCCCGATGCCCACGTCGGAGAGGTGCCGGCAGGAGCGCAGATTGAGGCTCTTGAGGCGCTGCAGGCCCCAGGCGATGAGCAGGAGGCCGGTGTTGGTGATGTTGCTGCAGCCTCCGAGCTCGAGCACCTCCAGGCCCTTGAGGTACTGGGCGATGCGGCCCAGGCTGCTGTCCGTGATCTGCTTGCAGAGGCTCAGGTTGAGCGAGCGCAGGGAGCTGATCTCCGCCACGAAGGCGTGGCTCAGCCCGTTGTCGGTGAGGTTGTAGCAGCCGCTGAGGTTGAGGCTCTCGATGTCCGCCATGCCCTGGACCACGTAGCTCAGGCTGCGCCGCAGCGACAGGATCTGCACCCGCCGGATGCCCCGCGCCGCCAGGCTGGGGAAGAGCGAGGGGTTGGCGCGGCGCAGGTGCAGCTTGGCCTCCACGCCCCGCCACACCGAGCGGTGGTAGGCGGCGTCCCGCCAGGCCGTGCACACCTGCGCCGCGCGGCCCTTGTCGCGCACCTCCAGGTACCCGAAGATCATGGCGAGCAGCTCGGGGAACAGGCACGAGATGTGCGTTTCCATCGCACGCACGCCCGCCCGCGCCCGGCCGCCCCCGCCGGCGCCGCGCTGCTGCCAGACCCGGTCCGGCCCGAGGGGCCTTAGTGGTCACCGGGGCCACCCCCGGCTCCAGCGCATGGCACACGGTGGTGTACAGAGAGGGAGACACCACAAGCTCTCTGGGCAGTCTGGTGCAGTGCGTGGCACCCACACAGGAAAGAAGTTATTCCTTGTACTCATCCTTCACTTACATTGATGAGGTCCTTTCTCAGTCACCTCTTCTTGAAGCTGAACAGGCCCAATTTTCTCAGCCTTTTCTCACAATAGCAATGCTCCAGTCCCCTCATCATCCGTGTCACTCTTCACTGGATCCTCTCCAGGAGCTCCATGACTCTCTAGTACTGGGGAGCCCAAAACTGGATGCAGTACGCCAGGGCTGAGGAAAGGGGCAGGATCAGTTCCCTCGACCTGCTGGCAGTGCTTTTCCTGATGCATTACTAATCCTAATTCTTGCCCCGCTTCCTGCCCTGGCGGTGGGTGCTGTGCTGTCACCCGTGGATGACAGGTCCCCACTAGGGCAGAGATGGTGGGGCTGCAGAGAGCAGCACTGCTTCACAGAATCACAAACTCAGTTACCTTGGAAAAGACCTCTGAGATCATCGAGCCCAACCTATGACCAAAAACCACCTTGCCAACCAGACCATGGCACTGAGTGCCACATCCAGTCTTCCTTAAACACCTCCAGGGACAGTGAGTCCACCATCTCCCTAGGCAGCTGTTCCAATGTCTAATCACCTTTCTGTGGTGAGGTTTGCCAAGGCCGTGCTGGGCTGGCTGGTAACTCCTCAAGCTCTCTGGGAGCCCCATGAGGAGGGACAGGGGTTTGTGCAGTTGTGGAAAGTAGCAAAGAGAAGGTGGATGGCTGCCTCACCCTTGCCTGCTGGAGCGCCGGCTGCTGTGGTCTGCAGGATGACCCTGAGGCGGTGTGACAGCCTTGAGGAGCAAAGTTTGGGAAGCTTCTGTCCAGGCATGCCTGCAGGAGCGATAGGACAGGGCTGTAAACAGCTCAGAGCTCTGGGTAGCTGTCAAGGTTGCCGTACATCTCTGCACGAACTGTTTCAGGGCCTCTGTAATGGGAAATAGAAAATCTTCTGAAAATGGTTTTCAGCTAATGACCTCCTTGAACTAGCTCTGAAAATTGTTGAGGTACTTACATAAACCAAGCAATTTCTAGTGACTTCCATCAATTTCAAGAAAAAAATGTTTGAAAACAATGTTTCCTATGTGTCTATAGCCTTGTGTAGTGGTACCCGTGTACATCTCAACACTGGGCAGTATTGCAGCAGTGTTAAAAATGGCTTAAGTTCTACTAGAGATCAGGTAAGGCTTTTCAAAACAGTTTCAGAAGAGCAGGACTACCCTTTCTTTGTAAAGAAAAAGTTTGCATTTCTTCAACATGACAGGGTGTCTTCTTAATACTGTCTGGATTGCTAAAATGCTGCACAAATCAGCCTAGTTACTGATGTGTTTGCTGTATTGATGCCTTCACTAACCTGAAGGAATAGGCTCTATTTTAATAATCATTTAAATTTATCTGCTACAGAAGCAGTCATGGCTCTGCTTTCATGTACAGATTCCATATTAGTAGATTGTAGATTCCAGATTAGTAGATGTTGACTGCTTAGAGGTTAAATGTTTAGGTTTCACTCTGCTTTTTTCCTTCCTTTTTGCTTTGAGTTGGAGGCAAGGCGAGTTGAAGGACTCTGAGGCCCTGATCCTGCACTGAGTTCCCCATGCATATAAACATCACTATCAACATTTGGCTGTGGTTTGGCAGAACAACAAAAGCCAGCAGTGCAGCTCCTATTATTGGCTCCAAAACGGGGTGGCCACATGATGTGAAGCGCTGACCTGCTATTCATTCACCCTGCCTGCTCGAGTTAATTCAAGAAGTTTTTGACAGGTTAACTTTTTACTAGCAGACTTTATGCCGGCTCAGGTGTCACTGTGCTCACTCCAGCCAGATCAGGTATCGTCTGCACCCCTGTGCCTGGCACGTGGCCAGAGCAGGATTGGTGTTGGCCCCGCATCCTGCGCTCTGGCTCGTTCAGCAGCAGCCTGATCACATGCCTTGGCCCGATCCCGATGAAATTTGTACTCCTGGGTGATCCAGCAATGCACAGACCTGGTTTTAGTGATTGTGGAGCTGCAGTCACACACTGGAGCTGTGCTGGGGTGTTGCCCTGTGTGAATTACCTTTGTAGGATTATTTTTGCAGTTTGTGCTGTTGGGAGGTTGGTTAACCATCGGGTTAATAAGCAAAAGATTAGGGGCGATGGATTTTTTTTCTCTGCAGATCAGCTGTGCTCAGATCAGTTGTAGAGCATCACAACCAAAATGGAGAATTTCCGTGGAGTGAGGAGCAGGTGAAAGGTGTGGCATCTCACAGGCCTGTCGTGGCAGGGATTCCTTGTCTGGAGGCAGTGGGATCGCTCACAAGAAGGCTGAGTCCAGTAGACATCAGGCAATGTGTGAAGGAAATGTGGCACAGAAGTGTCTCAGTGATTGTTGCATTACTCATAACTGGCAGAGCTACAAGCAAGTTCTACAAGTCATTCTCAAAGAGTGCTAATGAAGCCTTTCACCGTATTATCCCAAACTCAGCTGCAGAGTCTTACCATGGAAATAATGTGGAATTTCCTCTCCCTAAGCCTTTCAAACCACATTTGAAGGGGAGTAGAAAAAGGTGTGCTCTTTGAGGCAGAAAAGTTACCTGAAATACTTTTTTCTTTGCATCTTGGCACATTGTGTCTGTAATACTTCCTGTGTGTAGCCAGCAGAAGTTAGATATTGATGATGCATTTTCTGGAGACTCTGAAGTTCTCTTTCTCACATATTATATACTTAGACCATCTGTCCTTCTTTGTGAACAGTTCAGGTTTAGATGTTGAGTGAAACAGCCTGGAATTTGGATTCGTAATCCTAATCTACTGTAGTGTTGATCTGGGGGAGAGGAAGGCACAGAAGTTACTATTCTAGCAGATTTTTATTTCTCAGTCTAAGTGACAGATGTTTGGAAATAGAGGTTTAGAAAGACAAAGTACAAAGTGCATTAAAAGGGTCAATTTATCACATGGTTGTTGGGTTGACTTTGTGTTTCCAGGAGTAAAGGAATATGTGCCATATTTTTCATGATCTCATGTGGTATAAATAGGAGGTGGTAATCACCATGTGATAAACTGCATTTTATTAAAAATCCCTGCCTGTCTCTTATGCACTCAGATGGCTGCTCCATCCCCCTGGAACCATCTCTAGCATTCCAGCTCCTCGAGCAGCTCCTGACAGCCACGCTCTCTTTTAGAAAGCACTTGCCAGATAAACGCTTCAATTTTTTTCCTCCAGTTACCCCGGTATTCAGTGGAGGCTGTACAGTTTTGCTTGGCAGGGGTTCAGGAGGATTCACATAACTCACTTGTGGCTTCTGCGATTGGAAGCAGCTCGTGCTGATAGAGCTGCACTGTTGTCTCTCCTGCATCTTTTATTGCGTGGTTGGGCATAACATTCACCAGGTCTCTCTCTAGCTCCCATCTCAGCCTGGCCTTGTTTGTTACTTTTGCCTGTCAGTTGGCAGGGTAACTTTTGGCTCAAATTAGTCATTTAAGAGATAACAGAGTCCTTCCTTATCCTTACTTTTCTTCTGCCACCCTACTCCATGTGCTTTCTGCATTTTCACAGCTTCAGCTGCAGAATGAAAAACTTGTGAATTTACCCACAGGAATCTTTTAAGCCTTTGGCTTTTTTTTTTTTTTTTTTTTTTTCCTCTGGGCAGCGGCCATTGGGACTGCAGGACAGAAGTGATGCAAAAACACTTGGACAATAAAGCCCATGCCCAGCTAACCCTCTTCTCTCTTTTGTTCCATTTAAACTTAGATGCAGCCACACTCCATGGGACTACAGTTGTCCTTCACAAGTTGGCTTCCAGACCTTCTTCATCAGATTTGAAGCATGACCACAAAAATCAACTAAGATTGATACAACCCATGGTCTTAAACTGGGTTTAAAGTTGGTTTAGTGGAGCTTCTTCAAATTCAATTTGGGGAATGTTTTTTTATGTATGAATGAAACCAAAAGGATCCTTTTGGGACTATTGCAATAGGATAGTAGTTAATGGTTTTAAACTAAGGGAGAGTCAGTTTAGACTGGATACAAGTTTTTTACTGAGGCTGGTGAAACGCTGACACAGGGTGCCCAGAGAGGTGGTGGCTGCTGCATTCCTGGAAACATTAAAGGTCAGGTTGGACAGAACTCTAAGCAACCTGGTCCTGTTGAAGATGTCCCTGGTCATTGCAGGGGCTTGGACTAGGTGGCCTTTCAAGGTCCCTTCCAAACCAAACTTTTCAATGATTCTGTGGTTTTATGTTGCATGTATGCATATCTGTGTGCATGCACATACACATATATAAATCAGCAGAGAGTGTTCAGTAAATGGATTCCCTTTGGAATTCATGCTGGTTTTTTGCTTTCATTTTCGTGATCTTTCATTTTTTGATCAGCGAATATAAAGAAAATGTAACTGATCAGAAGTTTTTTTTTGAAATTGTAATACTGGGATCCTTTTGCCTGTTGAGCTTTGTTGTGAAGACTAGGTCACTATGAAGCTTTCCTTAAAAAACAAAGTGGGTTTTTGTACTTTGCAGGCTTCATGTCTCTAATAGGTGCTACATGAGGATGTATTTTAGGATGACGTGGTTTGTCCTGCACAAAGTAATTCTCATGTGCCATGTATTTCCTGGAATCAGGCGGTTTATTCAAAATATAATGTTATGTGGATATGTGGTTAGATGCTGGGGCAAAATTCAGAACTAATGTCTCAGTGCAGACTGCAGGTATAGATTAGAGCCATTTGGATTTGGGTATTTTCTCCAGGTCTTGTTTTTACTTCATTCAGTAGCTGACAAGAACACAACTCTGCTGATATGAGGGGAATGGTCAGAGGGTGTGAAGTGTGGGGGGTCGGGATTATATTCCCAGTTTTGCTGTTAAATTGGCCAGCGATTGTTGCTGCTGTAAC